AGGACATGCGGCCCATCACGCTGGCCACGTTGACCACGCGGCCCCGCGCCCGCCGCACCAGCGGCAGGAGGCTCAGTGTCACCTCCACCAGCCCCACCAGGTTGACATCCAGCACCTTGACAAAGTCCTCCTTGGTCAGCCACTCGTTCGGGGCGGTGGGGATGGCGATCCCGGCGTTGTTCACCAGCCCCCAGAGCCCTGGAGAGGGGATGGGATGAGCTGAGGCTGTTCCAAGGCCCTGCACCAGCCTCGCCTGTGCTGGCACAAGTGGGCTGACGTTCCTCCCCTCACACAGCCCCCTGAATATCAGGCTAGCCCAAAGGTCCGAGGGTGTTGGGGGAGGAATATCAGGAGATGGCAAAGATTTCCAGAAGAGGCTTTTACCCTGATATATGTTGCCTCAGCTCTCTTTATTCTGTGGTGTCCAAAGGCAAAAGAGCAGAACAGGAAATGTCAGGGGTCTGTACAGGCTTTGGACAGGGTGGGCTTCCCTGGCTCTGTGCCAGCCCCGTTGGGGCAGGAAGGAGGGTCCAGGGTTATCTGATCAGTCCCAGGGTCCCAGGGAGGGGGCACAGAGTGCCCAGGAGCTCACTGTAACAGTGGGCAAGGTGACAGGAGAGCTGTTGGGGTAATCGGCTCTTAATTAGCTGGTTTTCGGGAGGAAAGGGCTGAAAGCTGAACTCTCTGCCCGGGCAGCGCTCCTGCAGGAGCCGATGGCAGATGCATGTCACCAGAGAAGCACCTCTGGCCAAGCAGCAATGAATCACAGAGCCGTGATTACCCCGCGGTGTGGCAGGGGAAGCCGGGGGGGACAACAGGGACGTCAGCCCCGTTTTACCTTGGTCACCCACACGCTCCCGGACCCAGGCGGTGACATCGGCGATGCTCTGGCTGGAGGTGACGTCCAGCAGGACGGTCTGCAGGCGGTCGGAGGTGGCCGCCCGCAGCTGCGCGGCCCCGGCGGCGCTCAGGCAGGCGGCCAGCACCCGCAGCCCCCGCGCGTCCAGCTGCCGCGCCAGCAGGTTCCCGAAGCCGCTGTCGCAGCCCGTGATCAGCACGTGCTTCTCCGAGAGCCGCGGCACCGGCTGCCGCTCCCGGTGCCAGCGGCGCAGCAGGAACAGCCCCAGCAGCGCGGCCACCACGTACAGCCACATCCTCGGCACCGGCACCGG